GGGGGGGGGGGTCCTACCTTGGGAACGGGGGAGGAACCTAAGCCCCAGGTCTTGAGAACTTTGCTCAATAAAACTGACTTTCCCTTGCCCTCCATCATGGGTCCTTTGCAGCCCACCTCATGTGCCACTCAGAGGGGCAGGGCTGCCTTTTTGACTCCCCAGGCCAGTTCTATCTTCTTCCTTGGAGGGTAGTGAGGATAATAGTAGTGGCCTTGATTTAAGCCATTACTGAGCACCTATGGCATACACACCCCAAACAGGACTAGCTAGTCATTACAGAGAGCTTGGGGGTGGGGTGGGGGAAGTGGGGCTATTCTAAGCACTTAATACCTATTAACTCAGGTAATCAACTTTCATCCATTTTATGGTCACAAATGGAGTCACAGGAAGGTTAAATAACTTGCCCAGGACCCCACTAACTAGTAAGAAGCAGAGCAGGTTCAAACCTAGGCTGTCAGTGGACTTGCTTCCCAACCACACTGCTTTACTTTCTAAACTCTGGGCCAACCTCCCACCCCATTCTTTCAGGACTAGAGGCAAATAGGCACCAGTTCTGGGAGGCAGGCGAGACCTCAGTGTGGGAACCTTCAGGTATGAGGATGTTGGTGGAAGGTTAGGAGCATTGGACTGAGAGTCCCAGGATCTAATCTTGACCACCCCACACAACCAGCTTTCAGGAGAATCCTATCCTGATCCCCAATTCCTCACTGGCAGGGTGAGACAGCAACCCTGCCTGCATCACTGCATTGCTGCCCACTGCACAGGGGAGGGGAGGTGATGGTGGGGATGAGAGAGGGGAAGCAGTTCCTGAGCAGGAGCATGAGGAAGTGGGGCAGAGCCCAGATACNTAAACCCTGTCTCTTATACACATCTAGATGTGTATAAGAGACCATCCTAGTACCCTGCCAGCCCAGTGCTCTTGCTTGCAGGGTGCCACAACCTAATCTTTGGTATAGGCCTGGGCTTCCTCCTCTTTGGATGCCAAAATCCCAAAGCCACCCTCTGAACAGGCCCGTGCTCACCCCCTCTGCCTCTCCAACAGCTACTGCACAGAACTTTCCGGCAAGGTAGGTGTGTGACTGTCATGATGCAATTTAGATCCAGGTGAATGTTGTTTAGTCACAGCCAACCTGAGGGCGCCATGGGGAGTGACTACATGTTTCCTTTCCTTCAACCACCAGCCTCAAAGAGGAAGAGCAGAGAACATTAGCAGGTTCTAAGAAAGAACCTTGAGTTACAGTGTTGCTCAGCAGGGTTGCTGCTGCTTCTCAAGGCTACAGCCTTTGTTCTGGGTTCCTTTAGGAACCAGACCAATAGCATGGTGGCAGAGTTCCAAGGTGGAAACAACCAGAAACGCCTTTACTTCCATGTACTCTGAACTGATACTTCTAACATTTTGGATCTATTTCCTCTTATGTAATGTGAGGCTGGTAGACTTTGGGGAGATCCTGGTGGAGGCCCCAGAGTGGTCTCTCCGCCCTCTCAAGAGGAAACAGGCTGCAGGCTCTATCACTGAGGTCATGGCCCTGAGTCCCACTTCCTGACCCTGGTGGCCAAGTCACAGGTCTCAAAATGAGCTGGGCCCACACCTCGTACCTACAATCTCAGGTCTACCTGTGCTAGAACTTGGGGCCTGGCTCAGTAAGAAGCTATGAGACCCAAGACAGCCAGAGGCCCCCATCCTGTTCCCTACTGCAGGGAACTGTCCCTGCCAGGCACACTCCCAAGACCCCAAATAGACTAATTCCCAAAGGTCCAAGACCATGTTACCCAAGTTAAATCTCTTTAATATCCCAATACAAAGTCCTGATGCAAAAAGACAATGAGAAAACCCTGGGAAGTTAGGGGGAGGGATTCTGTAAATTCTCACAGCAGCTTTTCAGGGGCGGAGGAGCTGAGAGAAGCAGCAGTCCACAGTGAGGAAGGGAATGCACGGCTCCTGGGACCTGCTCCTCACCCCCCTTTTGAGGGGCCGCACCCTTTGGATATCTGCTCCTTTCTCTTGGTCCCTGGGATTCAACTAGCTCTGGCTTCAATCCCCTACAAAAATTCCTGAGATCTCGGGACCCCAGCCAGCTCCTCCCCTGCAGTACCCCTTGACGGGGAGGGGCTGAGGAGCCCATGAGAGTTCATAGGCGTACAGGAGCGTGGGTCAGGAGCACAGGGGGGCCTCTGAGTCCCCTGCCTGCTCCAAAAGCACACAAAGAGGAAGACTGCCGTAGAGCTTGGGGTCCGTGAGGGGCTGGAGCAAAAGCAGGAAGAGTCCTACACCCAGGGCATAGCCTGCCAGCAGGGGCCGCCTCTGTGGATGCTCCAGAGCTGCACACACAGCAGGAAAACCCATGTAATTGCAGAAGGAGTGGCAGAGAACTGGCCCAATCAGGTGTCCTGGGGAGAGGAGACAGAGCAGCTCGCGGAGCAGCCCCACCACCTCCTCAGGCCCTTTTGGGGGCTAATTACCCTCACCCCCTGGAATAGATCAATGCCCCACTTGTCCATCCACACACCACGGACTCTGCTTCCTTCCACTTCTCAAATCTCACCAGGCTGAGGGCCCTGGCTTTGCCTGTCTCAAAGACTGGTTTTAAAAAAAAGTTGCTCCTAAAACAAACAGTCTTCCCATTCTCCCACCCACTCCTGTGGGCCCCTGGAGACCTGTGAGGGACTGAGGACCAACCTGTGCGGATGAAGAGGAAAGCAGTGTAGGCACCAAAGACAGCTGTGTAGGAGAACTGGAACGCTGGAGATGGGGAGGCCATGAGTGACCACACCTGTCCCAGCACTGTACACCCATCAGCCAGAGACATCCCCTTCCCTCTGGGGGCAGTGACTGCCTGCTCCAGCACCTATGGCTGTCATCTACACCCCAACTCCCCATGGTCAGTGGCCCCTCCAATACTCTAGCTCTCTGTTCCCAATTCTTCCAGAGTGGCTATTAGGGACACCCTCAACCCCCAACCCAGGATTACCCCAGGCATGCTCTTTAGGACTTACCTGCAGACAAGAAGATGCTCCCCACACTGCTCTGACGGAATCGAAGCTGCTCAAAAATGTGGTGAAAATGGGCTGGGAAGGAGAATCATGTCACATTGCTGTTAGCCTGTCCTATAAGCCCTACCCTTGCCCCAAGCCTCATCCTCAGCTCTCATGCTGGGGAAATCTCAGCAGGACCGGGTTGCATACTCACCAACTCCAAAGAATAGTGGGCAGGTGAACACAGCAGGGCCCAGGCCCATACATGGTGCTAACATGGGAAGCATGCAGGCCCGGAACACCAGCTCCTCTGTCAGGGGCGCGATCACTTGGTTCCGAAGCCAACGCATGTCCGTGAGGCAGCGGGCCCAGGAGCGAGGGGCTAGGGAGAGGATTCAAGACAAGTAATGAGTGGCTAGCTATTGAACAGAGAGACCCTAGAGGTCTCTCACAATCTTTTCCTGGCCAAACTCAGGTTAGACATTCATACTCAGGACAGGTAAAGGTTCAGCTTTATCAACATAAGACAATGTTTCAAGAAGACTGAATGGGAACACATTACTAGCTGGATATCTGGAAACATCAAAATTTGCCCAAGACCAGCTCAGGCTTGGAGAAGCCAAAGGTTAGGGGAAGCAGGCAAAATGCTCTCTAATCCACACCAAATATAATTCTAGGGGTTCCTAGGGGGATCCTTGAACATCAGAACCAACTCTTAGAGGCACCTGCTATAGGTTCCCATTTTACTGATAGGAAACACAAAACATCTCACATCTCATGTTCAGGTCCCATCATGATTCCCTGTATACTGAACTGCCTGCTTACTTTTCCCCTCAGCCCTGAAGACTCACCTAAGACAACCTTTAACCCATCTGCCAGGTCACAGGGGCAATCCATTGAGAGCTGCATTAGTGGACCCAGAAAAAGGATCTGGGACACAAAAACAGGAGAAATCAAATGAAAGGCTTAAACTATAATCCACTGCCATTGCCCAGACAAGGTCTCAAGTTTCCTATTCTCAGCCGAAACTTCCCACCCAAGCATACCCGAGGGCCTCGAGCCATCTCACAATTCCTGTCTCCCATCAGGCAAAAACTGGACACAGCAGGATAAGAAAAAAAGGTCACAAAAGGGAGCATTATGCTAATAACAAAGAACAGAGGAGGAAAGATAATGGAGGACTCACCATGGTCAGCAGCAGGGGCAGCAGTGCTGCTGGGAAAATGCCCTCCAGCCTGAAGCCCATCAGGGTGAGCAGGGATGTGCCTGGCTGAGCCACAGGAAAGGGGGCATCAGTTTTGCTCCCTCCCCCAAAGATCCCTGAGACCTCTCCCCTGTTGCCCTCTGCCCCGCCTCCTTTGCACCTGGATGCCTGTGAGTTCCCTCCAGAGTAGCACGCAGAGGGGCGAGAGACTGGACACCACCAGGACACTGGTGAAGCGCCGCTTGATGACGGCAGGGTGGTCCCTATGGAGGGGGCATTAAGTTCAGGGGGCACACAGTCGCGTCCTGACAGCGCGGTCCCGCCCTCGGTTCGCCCAAGCTCCGCCCTCAGCCCCGCCTCGTGGAGGCGCGGACTCTGGCCGCGAGCGCGCGCGGCCCCCGCACCTGGGCAGCTCGCTCTTCCAGACATAGAGGCTGCCCACGTAGGAGCAGGCAAGGCTGAGACAGGAGAACACCGACACCCAGCAGCACAGCCCGGGGCCCGGGCCTCCCAGAGCCGCCGACTCAGGCTGCCGCTCCGGTCGCGACACCGACAGCAGACGCAACCCGTCCCCGCCCAGCGCCGCCATCGCGCCCAGACCCGCGGCGCGCTCCAGTGACGCAATCCTGGCGCCCGGGGGAGGCTCTGGTGCATCATCAGCCAGCGCGGGCCCTCCAGCCCCGCCCACGACACTGAAAAAGACCCGGCGCGCTCGCAAACAGGTTTATTGAACAACAGGCTACACGTGGCTTCAGCATCCGCCTGGCTGGCCTGGACGCGCAGGGGAGACGACTTGGCTCAAGGGCCAGGACTCAGCCACTCGGACAGATTAGAGACCTCCTGCAGCCACAGTGCGTCCTGCGAGAGGAAAGGGCCCGGAGTGAGGATGCCTCGGTAGTGTCCGGAACCCCGCCCTCCCCTGCGCTGCCTTAGCCTCCTTACCTCCTGGCCGCTCCCGGGGCCCGCACTGCTTCCGCTAAGGGTCAGGGAGACCTCGCGGGGCTCTTTACGGCGCAGGGCAGCCTCTGGCGGACTCCAGGCCCTGGCAGAATGGAAAGCCCGCGTTCCCTCCATGACCTGGAGGAGGCTACCCTTCTTGAGCCTCTTGTTTGCTACTTGCCCGCCGGTCCCTAGGAGAAAACGCGCACTCATCTCACGGCCCTGTGCTAGAAAAGACCCTGGGGGGAAACCTGGGAGGAGCTGCGGCCCGGCTCTATCAGCTCTCCCACCTCGGCACCGTTTCATCAGTTCTTGTTCCAGTCAAAACCCGGAAGCTCCGGGCCTTTAGGTTCAAGCCGAGGCTGCCGAATGGTATCAAGGTCTCTATCCTGCTTCAGCTAAGCCCGAGAAGGGACATGTGGGATTGTACCAAGCCCTCACTTGGGGATCGCGTCCACTTGGTCACTGTCTGCCCAGATTCTTCGTAGAGTTCGCACTATCCATCTCCTTCCTCCCTGCCAAGCGCAGATTTCCGTGTGGAAAGCTGGCCTCACCTCCCTCACTTTGTTGCTTAGGCTGCACTGGGCAGCGCCAATAGGCAGTCTTCTTATTAACCTGTTCATTTGCCCAAATTTAAAGCACTGTTTTGTCCAACAGTGTATTCCTGTTAGTCTGGCCCTTTTAGAGACAGACTGGAGCCAGGTTGCCTGGGTTTGATTTCTGGCTCTGCCATTTACTGGCCGTGTGACCTCAGGTAAGTTTATTGACATCCCTGCGCCTCAGGTACCTCATCTGTAAAATGAGAAAATAATAGTACCTGTACCTCATAGGATTATTTTGAGAATTAAGAGCATTAATACATTTTAAAAGTTCAGAATAGTGCCTGGTACTTGCACCATACACATTCGGGTACCAGTGGCTATAGTTATTTACAGCCACTTACATGTATACATCCCTGGCTCTGCTGGCCCTGCAGTATCATCACCATCACATCTCACACTGACACCTCTCCATAACACATCAAAGTTAAGGTGGTGTCTGCACCCAGGAACAGCCTCCAGAAGCAGCCTCCAGAGCCCCAAACAGATTGGTAACCAAAACTAGGGATAGCTATCATATCAATGCTAATTATCAAGAAAAGACATGGAACAAAATGGATTCAGGGCCCCATCCCATGATGCACATCTATAACTGCACAAACGATGAGGAATTTCTAGTCCTATCATACCAGTTTTTGAGATGGAGTGCCTCCTATTGCCCCACAATGTCCATAGTGGTGGTGGGAGCCAACCAAATCCTGGAGGGACACTGCTATGGTGAAAGGTGCAGTTTGAAGGCCTTGACATCATGCTTTTTACTTCCCAGCTTTGATCCAGAGCTCACTGAAGAGCTGAAATCTTACCTGCATGGAGCTCCAGACTGCTGTTCTCATGTGCATTCTCTGTGCTCGCCTCTGTATCATTTTTTTCTGGGAGCATTTGCTTAAAAAATTAAAGTCCTAAGTTAGTTTTGCAGAAGAATGAGTGAGCCCCAGTGAGATGAATGTGCCTGGTGGATTTGTTCACCTCACAGGGATGTCCACCCTACCACTCCCTCCTACTTCCTGGCTCATGTGAATCCTACCCAGCCCCAACCTTCAAGGTTTCCTTCTGCTAGAACCTTTGCAGCTTACTCCAGCATTTCCTTCCTCTTCTGAACTCCAGTCACTCACCTACTGTCTGAAAGCTCTGACAGTACCCACTCCTCAAGCTCTGAAGCGTGTACTGCATGCCCCTGTTCATTTTTATGTGTGGATGTCCATTTTTCTCTATCATAAACCCCTTAAAAGGTAAGGTTCATCATCCTACATCTCTTTATATTTACTATAGTACCTTGCACAGGGTAAATGCTCAACAAATGACTGACAACAGGGCATGTTCTGTAGTCCTCACTAGCCTTTCAAAGCCCTGCCACATTTGGCTCAATTTGGACAGAGAAATAAAGGAACTAAGATCAGAACCCAATCCTAGCTCTTTGTTTTTCAAGAATACAAGTGTATAGCCCCGCCGGCATGGCTTAGCGGTTAAGCATCGACCTAGGCTCCAGGAGGTCATGGTTTGATTCCAGGTCAGGGCACATGCCTGGGTTTTGGGCTTGATCCCCCGTAGGGGGCGTGCAGGAGGCAGCTGATCAATGACCCCCTCTCATCACTGATGTTTCTATCTCTACCTCTCCCTCTCTCTGAAATCAATAAAGATATATTTTTTAAAAATACAAATGTATAGCCCAGCTGGGCGTGGCTCAGTGGTTAAGCATCAACCTAGGATCCAGGCGATCAGGGTTCGATTCCTGGTCAGGGCACATGCCCGGGTTGCGGGCTGCAGCCGATCAATGACTCTCTCATCATTAATGTTTCTATCTCTCTCTCCTCCTTTCCTCTCTCTGAAATCAATAAAGATATATTTAAAAAAATAAAATAAAATGGTAAATTTTGTGGTACATGAGTTATAACAGTAAAAATATTTTATCATGTATTGTTTACTAAACTAAGTTTCAATTTGTAAGTACTTATATTCAAGGAACATAGAAAGGGTAAAAATGGCCCTAAAGGTATGAAAAAAAGAAATAGTATTAGGAAAATTTCCAAACATTTGCCCCCCTTGACCCAGCCCCCCCCCCCATTTTTTTTCTTTGAGAGAAAGCTTATTCTTTTACTTCACTCTAGCCTGGAAAATCTCATGTAATAGACTTCCTATCTTGATATTGGTCTCACCAAGGAAATACCCACATTCAGATATAAAGCTCTGAGCCCTAGAGGAGCCTTGGACACCCTTCATCATCAGGTTCCCTGGATGAGACAGACCTATCTATCCTCAGGACACACCTCCCTGGATTTCACACTCTGAGACATTTCCTTCTGGTCTTCCCTCCGCCCCACCCTGAGGATAACAATGCTTTTCTTTAGAAAGCTGCCTCCATGTTACTGATCCTGCTTATTCTGGGTTTAAGTATGCAGTCCCTACATATGTCTCAACACGAAGCCCTGGAATACTATCTTGTCTACTGCTCCATGGCCCACTGTCCACTGTTTCAATACCCAGGCTGAAAATCTCCATTCCTGGCACAACCTTTCCCTGCCTATATTCTACAAAACTCTAAAAATATTCTCTCATTTCTTCCATTTTCCATAAGCTATATAATAGCCATAGATGATGTTATTCTTTATCATTCCAGAGGTTAGTTATTCCACTTTACCTGTTTAGAAATGGAAATGGACTGGTTGGTCCAGAGGTAAAAGACTCTGACCTATTATCATTGATCTTGTAGTTTTTAGCTAAGCCACTGGGTGCCACTCTCATGCCAGTAACAAGTTATCAGTAAATGGTCATTATCTGAGGAAGACAGTAATGACTTTGAGTGGAGAAGCAGGGATTCTATTCAATGCCTCTGATTACTCATCTTTCCCGGACTTCTTGTGATCCAGTCCTACATGGTAACAATGTTACAAGGCTTCAGAGCCAGGAGACCTGGGTACAAATCCTAACCTTGCCATTTACTGACTGTGATTCTGTAACCAGTTTCTTCGTCTATAAAATGGAAAAACTACAGCCTACCTCACAGGATCTTCATGGAGATTAAAATGGAAATCTTGGCACAGATTAGTGAACCTTAGGTTCACTAGCCATCTGCCAAGTTAACTGGGCTATGAATGGCCCTGAAGCTATGAGTCATCACTATAGCAACAGAATGGGGCAAAAAAGGTCAGGTTATTTCCTTTTGAGATCTCACTAGGATATCAGAGAGGCCCAAGCAAAAGGACATCACAGCCTTAAACACTTGTAGATCCTGCCCATATATCGTAGGTCCTATGATAACAGCACATGTCTTGGCTTGAACCTATCCCTAGAAATCTGAAGATATGGATGGCTATAGTGGGTTGAATAAGTGGTCCGCTAAAAGATCTTTCTAAGTCTTATCTTCCCCAAACCTGTGAATATGACCTTATTTGGAAAAAGGGTCTTTGCAGATGTAATTAAGGACCTAAAGACAAGACCATCATGGATTTAGAGTGGGACCTAATCCAATGACAGATGTCCTTATTTAAGAAAAAGGCAGAGAGAAATTTGAGAGATAAAGGGGAAAGGGCATGTGAAGATGGCAGCAGAGAATTGGAGTGATAAGTCAAGGAACATTTGGAGCCAACAGAAACTAGGAGTAGGGAAGAATTCTCCCCTAGAACCTTTGGAGGGAACACGGCCCTGCTAACACCTTAATTTCAGACTTCTGGGCTCCAGAACTGAGAAAATAAATTTCTGTTGTTTGTAAGCCACTGATTTTATGGTAATTTGTTACAGCAAATTACCATAGGAAACTGATACAATGGGCATTCACTTTTATTTGCTCAAGTTGTGGGCAGCAGCTTTCCAAGTTGGAGGGAAACCAGCAAGAGTATTTGCAGTGAACCAATTGAACGGAACAGCTGATGCATTCCTAGGAAGGTGCTTCCTAGAAGGTACATATAGCCATGGAAAAAGGTGTGGTAAAGGGAGCATTTACAGAGGTTTCACTGCTGTCCTCTGCCTTTCTAGTTACAAAGCAGAGGAGGACGTGAAAATCGATGAGATGCTGTAACCCTTGGATGCCTGGGCACCTCAACTTCCTCATCCAATTAGGCAAACAGTAGGAGAGGGAGAGAAGAGCCA